TGTGCGTATTTTTTTTCGTTACTATGGTTGTTATTTTACATTGACTTTTGTCACTATAGATTTACTAAAAATAAAGTTCGTTTCCTAACATAAAATTTTACGTCCGTCCATGAATGTACTGTGATAATTAAAGAAGTGATCTCTTAACTTGTTGAAATTCTATCTTGTTGATTATTCGCTATATAAAAATATCTTTCATAAAAAAAAGACAGGATTATTGTGTTACGATAATTAACAAGATGATCTCCTATTTTGATGAAGAGTTATCTCATTAATTATTTATAATAGAAGAACAACCTTCATGAAACCGATTGGATATTTTTTGTATTTTCAAAAAAACAATGCAAAATAATTATGTTTCGATTTCAATTATATTTAAATTCATACTCATATTTTTTTTAAAACGAGACAAAACATAATTTTTAGGAGTCAGTTTTGGACGTTATAAGATGTTTTATTTTTTTCACGCGTAATCAACTTCTAAATATGATTTTACTTTAATTCTAAACGTAAACTTCTGAAGTTATCTTTTTCAAATAAAATTTACAAAAGTTCTTTTAAAAATGATTTTATATATATTCAATCATACTTAATTTAAAACAATCAAAGAATATTTATCCTTTTAAACATAATTTTAAAAAAAAATCAAATCAAAATAACGATGTAGACATTTGACATTGATCCAATTTAAAAACATATTTAAAAGATATTATTATCAATGTAGCTAACCCATGGCTATAAATTTGGTGACTCGAACTTGGAGTGATTTAGACACGAACTCCATCGTAAGCAACGTCGACTCTAGTTCATTCCACATGTTTTTCTGTTGTCCTCTCGGTTCTTTAAAATTTTGTTCTAACTAATTTAATTTGATCTGTGTCACACACCTGATTTTGGTAAGTAAGTCTTTCAATGATAATTATTTACTTACATAAAACCTTGAACTCGACACATAATTAAGGGATAGCAAACTACTTAGTATTTGAACCAATCTCGTTGATCCATATGTTTTTAAATTTGAGCTCCGAACCAAGCCACCCATCCTCTTTGAATTTTTCTACGTTTTTTTTTTCTAGATTTGGTTGGATTGAAGATAAGTAAATGATTAAATCTGATAAATTTTTGGTTAGGTTGAAGATTAATTAACGATTAAAATGGATAATTTTCAGTTCTACGATTTCCTTAGTAGCTCATATGATTGTGTAATTGTCAAAATTTAAAGTTAAATTGCAAACTTGCTAACAAATAACGATGTTCGGAACATCGTTATTGGCAAACACCTCCATCATCAACTTTAATAAACAATGATAAATATATTCGAGGGTTGGTAATTGGTTGTTAGAATTAGGGGTAAGTAAAATTTGATTATACTTGAAATTTGATTTTTTTTTCTCAATTCCGAATTATTCGAGCCAACTTAAATTATGGAGTCGATTTCCGAGTTCAAAATTTTCTAGTTAACTGAAAAATTAAAAATTTAGCTTGAGTATTTTTGACAATTTTACGATTTGATTATTAATTTCCTTATTCCTTTAAATCGTCTTTCATTTTAAGTCTATTTTTACAAAATTTAAACTGGTGCTCCAAAATTATTTTAGAATACCTATGTATCTTTAATCCATCTGTTCCATAACAGATTTTTTAATTTTCAATTTAGTCCCTCATTTTTACATGGTTTATTTCTTCAATTCATTCTTCATATTAAGTCCAATTTTAACAAATTTGAACCATATCCTCCTCTACCGCTATGAAATACCTATGTAACTTCAATTCATATTTTAATACAAATTTACTCTTTTTCAATTGAATTTCTCAATTGTACATTTTATTCAATTTGATCTTTTAACTGTAATTTTTCACTTTTTTCTTCTCATCATTTCATTGACTCATTTATACTCTCATCAATATTTTATCCTCAAAATACTTTCTTTGAAAAATAATATTATAAATCTATTTTATAATTTTAGATTATAATTGATTTATTAACATTAAAATATGAAAAAATATTTTATATGGTTAGAAAAATTTTGATAAATTGAAATCAATCCGTATCATAATATTATAAATAATTAAAATTAAATTTGTATAAAAACTCAAACAACTCGACCTTTTAGAATTTCAAATAAAGTTTGAATCATAAAATACAACTCATCAACTCGTAGTCGACTAGATTAAATGTTGACCCCTAATTAGAATGACTAATATATTATGTAACTAGTTTTTATATTCACGCGGGGATTGTTGTATCTAATTACTGTTTTTATTAAATTAATTAAAATATTCTTTTTGAGATAAACAAAAACTTTTCATAAATAAATGTTTACGTAATTAAAATATAATAGTTGACAACTTGAATTTTTATGGAATCATAAAAGATACATGAATTGAAACTTAAGGGGGTTTAATTGTTTTCTAATTTTAAATTATTGATGGCGAGTCAATGAAAATGTCAAACTTGTCAACCTATTACAACACGATAGATTTTGTTGAATGAAACTATTTTAGTTTTATACAAATTTAGGACCGTTAGATCAGTAAAAATAAATAATTGAGATTAACTCATTTTTTAAGTGAATATCTTCTCATTTCCTACTTTTAATCTTAATCATCTATTTTTACTCATCCAATGATCCTAAATCTGTGTAAAACTTTTAGTTTTACACAATGAAAAACTCTTTAGTTTTACACAATGAAAAATTGTTTAGTTTTACACAAGTTTAAGACCATTAGATGAGTGAAAATAGATAGCTGAGATTGACTCATTTCTTTTTTTTATTGAATATATTCTAATTTACTACTCTTAATCTCAGCCATCTATTTTCACTCATCCAACGATCTTAAATCCATGTAAAACTAAAATAGTTTCACATTGTGTAAGAGGATCCTATCTCAAAACTAATTAGCCAAAGTATTATAGTAGTAAAATAGGGGCATCTCAAAACCTGATTTTGAATCGGTTAGGCTTCGTTTTCCCACTGGATTCTGAAATACATCCCAAACAAGTGTTGATCAGTTAGCCACAAACAGTGGTCCACACTCCTAAAGTTCAAATCAGCTAAATGAAATCAATTTTACAGGTTCAGAAAGTATTTATCACTGAGTTGAATAATGATCAAGACACAATTTATGCAAGCAACAGTCAAGATCTATGTAGCAGCCATGCTTTGGGGTTTCAGTGAGATTATTTTAACTTTTTTTTCTTGGGGGGCCAATCATTACCAAGTCTTGTTCACTTCAACTCGTGACTTTGTCAAATCAATGTCGCAATTCACATGAATGTCGCAATTCACATGAATGTAGTGATTAGTGTTACTATGACATCAACCCTATTCTTTAATCCCTCCAGTATGGACATTTTGATGGCTAATTGCAGGTGCACAGAAGCATTATGGAGCAAAGCTTTCTCCAAAAGTTTTGAAGAATTGGTTAAAGACATTGCAATCATGAGCTGTTGCATAAAGAGACCGCATTATAGGCCAAATTGCTTAACTTCAAATTTGAACTTAAGAAGTATTTAAATGAAAAAGAGAGCTGGGGTTTAATTAGGGTGAATTGTTCATAAACCATTCATATAACGTTCGTTTATTAAACTATATAAACAAAAAAAAAATTATTTTCATTTAACAAATGAACGAACACGAAAAAATGTGTATTCGGTTCTTTTATATTCTCAAACAAGCTCATTCGAAAACTCATTTATTGGTTCATTTATAAGCTTGTTTATCGACCTATTTACCCGATTGTCCTTTTCCATTTACTTTTTACATTTTAAATATTGGTGGAGGCAGTGACTAAATTGAACACACGACGAACTTTAGAGTTCAAACTGTAGAGCCTAAAGAGCTTAAGGACTAATAGCATAATTTCACCATCTTCTTTGGCTTGCCAATATAAGGGTAAAAATAAACAAACGAACATGTTAGTGGACGCATAAACAAACATAATTAACCGAACATGAATACCTTCAAAAATAATCAAACGAACACGAACACAATATCAAAAAATTAAACGAACACGAACCGAACATGAGCACCTTAAAAAATAAACAAGTAAAGACAAACACAATCTTATTCGTTCAAGCTCGGTTCATTTACACTCATAGGTTTAATTTGTGTGATTGAGAAACTAACTTGACCTAAAAAGTAATTAAACCAGGAATGTTGAGGGAGAGAAAGGCATGATTTCATTTATTTCAAAACTAATATAAGCTTAAAGAGTGTACCAGACAAGTTTTTGGGGTTTAATCTGACCATAACCAAGTCACTGGTTATCACTAAAATTTAAAGGAAAATATTGCCAATGAAATGCCATAAGAACTGCATTTGACATGATTCTGCAAATGTGAGATACACGAAAAGCTCTAAAATGTCTTTGAGGAGAGAAAACCATATTACATCCATGTATAAACTTACTTCATTTCTTTTATTTTCCCTATTATCATTGTCTTAATCTGAATGTTTCAGGTTAACCTTCTTCTGGCCAGATGATTGTGTTAGCTAATTATAATAAAGATGCAAAGCTTATTGATTTCAACATTACTCGATCATACTAAAGTCCATTGGTGTTACCTGTAGAATAAGAAATTTGTGCAGCACCACAAAGTATCTAATCTTCAAGAGGTAAGCAACGTTCTAACTGAGTGACAATCCATATATTTTGATAACTCTTGTTTCATATATCTTGAACCCAAGCTTTGATAAATTGTAAAATGCACAATGCTAAAAGGCCAATCTAACCTAGTAGGGATTTCATAAAGTGAAAAGGGAGTAGAGGAGAACCAATTCTTCTTTCCCTCGATCATTTAGCCTATGCATTCAGAGAGGAGCAGTTGGAGTAATCACTCCTAACATATATTTTAAATTATCTTATATTTTTTTATTTATATTTTCTATTGATGATATGTTTTAATCTTTAGAATTTTATAAATTTATCTCCTCTTAAAATTTTAGAAACTCACTCCTTACATAAGATCATGCATCCATCCTTGAATGGATTGTCAGTCATAGTACAACACTGAAACTTATTAATGACACAAATCCTCATGGACCAAGTCAAAATTTTGCATCATTATTGTTTCACATTGAATAAAATTTAGAGCAAGCAACTAAAATGGTATTTAAAAACCGAAGAGCAAGTCATTTGCAGACTGAAAAAAGCAAGGAAATAGAGTAGTGATGTATCTGATGAAAGCCCAAGTTTATTGCTTTGACTGTGTTGCAGATTTTCTGATGATTTCTTCGGAGGGGATCTCCAGTGTAGCTCCCACATGCTCCTTACTCGGCTTAACCTCTGCAGCAAGAAGCACTTAACATTAAGAAGTGAAAGAGGCGGTCAAACAGACAATCCATCGAACACGTGGTGATCAATTAACGTAAAGCATTAAAGTACACCCTAGTGAGCTGCGGATGAGATGGAATGCAACGGGGAAGATGATAAAAGGTACCGTAGCCGCCGCGTTCGTTGAGCTTGGCTTGAACGATCATGGTGGAAATGAATTGGGATGCCTCACGTGCTTCCTCGAGGAGTCTCCGGATCTCAGGCTCCGAAGTCACGTGACGATTGACGTCGAATTTCTGACGAATCTCAACGGCGGAGGCGTTAAACATCATGGTGTCGCCGGAAAATGATTTACGGGTAGCTTTTAGAAGAGCCCTGTATGCGCTTAGTACTTCTCCTCTTACTATATTTTCGTTCTCTATCGCTCGAAGTCTTCCCTTTATAATTCTGCCTTAAAGCACTTGTTTACTAGAATGGGTAAACTATATGTTTAGTTAAATTATTATTTTTTAAGGCTGGGTAAATGGTAAATTTAATAACGATATTTTATTTTCTCTCCTATTTAACTCACTCAATTTCCTCACTGAATTTAATATATTTGATTTTTTTGTCACTCAATCATTTTTTCACTAACGACATCGTTTTGGTGAAAATTTTGTTTTTTTTAAATAGACTGTTATATAGATACATAACAACATCGTTTTGGTGAATTTTTTTAAACGACGTCGTTTTAAAACCGTTAACTATTTAACGGAAGAGTAAAAAAACTAATGTATTAAGTTTAGTGAGGAATTTAAAAACTTTTATCAATGAGAAAAATAGGAGAGAGAGTAAAGTTCAGTGATGAAATTTGTAATTTACCCTTTAAGGCTTGATATAAAACTGTCTAAATTATACCATATTTTTTATCTACGTGTCTAAACTATTTTTCGATCAATCCGGGTGTTTAACGTTATAAACGTTACCATTTTAAGTGTCCCAACAATAACAGTCGCTAAAAAGTTAAGTGACACATGTTGTATGCTGATAATTTTGAAGATTTTATTTTTTAAAAATTAAAAATAAATTATCAGGATATGATACGTGTTACTTAACGATTTTTTAACAGTCGTTACGGTCGGGACACTTAAAATGGTAACGTTTATAACGTTAGGCCCTTGGATTGACTGAAAAATCCATTAGGCACCTAAATGAGAAAACAGTATAGTTTAGACACTTATTTTATATTAAGCCTTTTTAAATCATATCTAATATTATATAGGATAAAGTACACAAATGGTCCCCAACTATAGGGCATTCCTTTATTGAGTCCCCTGACTATTGAAATTAGTTACAGAATGATCCTTCAACTATAGGACATTGCTTTGTTGAGTTTTCTGAATATTAAAAGTTAGAAATTTGTCATTAGACTATTCATATGTTCCAAACTTGTCATTTTTCGTTAAAAAGTTGGCGATCATTTGATCTAGACGTTAACCTTTTGATTGAGATATGATAAAATCATGTTTTAATGATGTCTATTGACATCATCGTTGCTTTAAAGTACTGGTTCAATGACACAATGTTTTGAAAACTGGCTCGATGACATAATGTGAACTATAAAATACAACTCAAACAGTTATGGAATTAAATTTTATCATGTCTCAGTTAGCAGGTTAATGACCAGCTTATATAATCTCCTATTTTTTAACGAACAATGACGAATTTATAACATATTTTTGAACTATGTTTTATAATGTTTTGATATAATAAATTAATGCAAAATGTTTTTGGACTTGAATTGAATTTGTTCACGGTTTTCAAAAATAATTCAAAGTCCATTAAAATAGAATTTGTGCACAAAAATGATTTTCAGGTTACGTAGTACCGATACTGTTCTTACAGTATCGATACTGCATAAATAATACCGATACTGCATGAATAATACCGATATTGTTCATGTAGTACTGATACTCTTTAGGTAGTATCGATACTACCAGTTATTTTTCAAATAGCTCAAATTCCAGAATGCAAAATAGGTACCGATACTACTTTACACATTAGTATCAATAACATGATCATAGTATTGATACTGGCCAAGCCCAATGGCTAGTAACGGGTAATTGATTTAAAAATTATAAAGGAAGTACCGATACTCATTAAAGAAGTACTGATACTCCCTGTCTTGGGCAGTTTTATTTTGTAGAAAAACAATCCCCAACGGCTAGAAACAACTACAAACACATTCCAGCATATAAAAAAAAGTTAAGGACACTTGAAGAAGGGTTAGAACACTTATCCAAGCAATTCATCATTAAGAGAAAAGCTTTTCACTCTTTTATTTCTTTTTCTCTTGTACATAGTGTGTTTGAGCTTAATTATATATCATTATGTCTTGTTTTTTGTGAGCTTATTTTGTAAACACCTACCTTGTAAGGGTTTTCTTGTTTACATTTATTTTCTTTGTGAAAAGGGTATTGTTCTAGCTAAGCCTGTTAAAAGCTAGGGAGTTTGTAAAGTTTATCTCTTGATCCTGTAAAAAGAAATAACAAATTAGTGAATTTGTTAGAAAATCCTTAGCGATAAGCTAAGGTAATGGATGTAGACTTGGTTGAGAAGTCAAACCACTATAAATCGTTGTGCAATTTGTCTATATTTATACTCCTTACTCCCTAAACTCAAAAAACCAATTCACCCCTTCTTGGCAAATCATTTGGTTGATCAAATTGAGCTTCATTAAATATCCCAACAATTGGTATCAGAGTTTGACTCGTTATAAAGTCTAACAACCTTGAGACGATCCTTGAAGAAGCTCTATCGATTCTCGACGCAACCGAGAAGATGGCTCTAACCTCTGGCTCTTACTACATTGAAGACTCTTAACTGGTCAACAAGCTACCTTATTTCAATGGAGCTAATTATGCATAGTGGAAGAATAGGATGATGTTCTTCATTCAACCGAACGATCTAGGATCTTGGAACTCAATCATGAAGGGATATTTCATTCCAACCGATGAGATGGATGATTGGGGTGATAGAGAGAAGAATAAGTTCCAACTCAATGTAAAGGCTATGCACATTCTATTTTTGTGCATTAGGCTTGGATGAATATGGAAGAGTCTCATCTTATTCTAATGCTAAGGAGATTTGGGACAAGCTCCAAGTCACTCAAGAAGGAACCAATGAAGTGAGGGAAACCAAAATTAGTCTTCTCAACCATAGTTATGAGAATTTCAAGATGAAACTGGATGAAGACATCAAAGCTATGACGAATAGATTTTCCGTGATTGTCAATGGTATTTAGGAATTTGGAGAAGTTATCTCTAATGAGAAGCTTGTGAGAAAGATTATTTATTCACTTCCAAAGTCTTGGCAATCGAAGAAGACAACGATCATCAAAGCTAAGAACCTAAAAACTCTCACTCTTGATGAACTTATTGGTTCTCTTCTCACTCATGAGTTGATGGTAAAGAAAGAAGAAGATGAAGAGAAGAAAAATGAGGTAGGCATTGCCTTCAAATCCACCAATGAGTGTGATCAAGATTCAAGTGAAAAGGTGGATGAAGATGATGATGAAGAAGAAGAGATATCCAAGCTCTTCAAAAGATTCAAGAGATTCATAAATTCTAAGGAAGTGAAGCGTGAATCAAGGAAAAAGAAGGGTCCCCCGGTGTGCTTCGAATGTCAAAGAACGAGGTATGTCAAGTATAATTTTCCCCTCCTAAAAAAGAAGAGATCAAATAAGAAGAAGACATTTGTGGCTGCTTGGAGTGATGGCGATGACTCCAATGATGAAGATGAAATAGCAACCTATGCCTCATGTCCATCGAAGAAGATTCAATGGTAACTTCTAGCTCTAGTGAATCAAATTCTTATTCTTTTAATGAGTTACAAGTTGCCTATAATGAGTTGTATTTGGAATTTGAGACCATGAATTCCAAATATAAAAAATTAATTCAAAATTTAAAGTTGAAAATGATTTGATTTTAAAAGCAAAAGTTGATTTTGAAAAACAAAATGAAACCTTGAAAAATGATTTAGAGCTTTCAAAAATCAAAATCAATGATTTAGAAAAAGAAAATTTTGATTTGAAAATTAAGCTTGAAAGCTTAACAAAAAAAAAGAATTAATTTCTAGAAACAACTCATTATGTTTAAAAATGAAAAATGCTCACATTGCCATTTTCATGGTCATTTTGAACATACTTGTCCTTTAAAGAAAGGAAAACATTTTAAAGTTAAACAAGTATGGGTTCCAAAAGGAACAACGAGCATTGAAACTAATGTTCAAGGATCTAAAGCAATTTGGATACCAAAATCCAAATGAATGTCTCTTGTAGTTGTGTGGGAGCAATGGTGATGAAAGTGAAGACATTCAAATGCTCTAGTCACACTTGAAAAGGAATGAGTAACCTCTAAGCTTAATGTTTATGTTTTGCATAATTGGTTTCCTATTTGTTGTAAGCATGCATAAGTTTTCATTTTTAAATAATTTTATGTTTTCTATCCCATGTATATTAAAAATATGTTGTGATGAACATTTTCTAAAGCTTTAATGATTTTTCATAAATGTTTGTTCATCATAATGAATTTTGGTCAAAATTGATTTTAATGTTTTGTGTTTTTACAAATTTTAATTTTTGGCCTTAATTTAAATGTTTATGCATGTGATTTATTGCAAATGGTATCTCTCTAACAATTGATATCAATTTTTTTAATGCATAACATTTTTTTATAGCGTTATGCACGTGCACTTAATTTCAACTATTGGTATTGCATAAAGTTTATTAGACTTGAATATATTGAATTTCATGTGTTACTAACATGTTTGTTCATCTTTGTTGAAATTCAATTTTTTAAGTGTCAAGATTTTAAAGTCAAATTTTGTTTAGAATGCTTTTATTGAGGGGGAGTTTTGATTTTTCAAATGATTTTAATGTTAAAATTACTACTTACTCTCCATTGTTGTTTTGAACTTAAAAATTTGAATTATTTTTTGATATAACAAAAAGGGAGAGAAGTATGGGTTTGAAAAATTCGATTTCAAGAATGAAAAAGGGGGAGCTTTAACTTTTTCCAAATATTTCTCTTTTTTATTAAATATTTTATTAAGGGGAAGTTTTGCCAAAAATAATTTTTCAAATATTTTGTTATATCAAAAATGGGGGAGATTGTTGAGCCATGTTTTATAATGTTTTGATATAACAAATTAAGGCAAAATGTTTTTGGACTTAAATTGAATTTGTTCAAAGTTTTCAGAAGTTTTCAAAAATAATTTAAAGTCCATTAATGTAGCACCCCGACCCGTACCCGACCCGGATAAGAAATCTAAGATGTCACATTGACTTTTTAACGCTTGAAAACTTTGAAAATCTGACTAAATTTTGACATCTTACTTTTATTTGACGAAGAAAAACGAAAACTTAATAACATATTAGAGCATTTACAATTTAAAACATTATTAGTACATGCCAACAACATTTCAAATAACAAAAACATATACAATTCAATTTTCGTTGATCTGATAATCTTCATAAGTATGTTGTCCTGCCCTTGCTTACTCGACTTACTCCTCAAATCTTTTTGAACCTACGTTTGAAAATAATCACACGCTAAGTCTATGACTTAGTGAGACATAATGAGTATAATAAAACAATAAAA